TCGGGCGGAACCGTCGCGGCGAGGCGGCCGACGTCCTTCCTGTCTTGCGGCGGAGAGAGAGAGGGGGCGAGGACACAACTGCGGCGACGCACACCTGCCTCTCCGCTCTTCACCTGTCTATCGATTGCAAGAGGAAGCCTACAGCGTGTCGCGAGGCGACAGTCTGACGCATGCGCGCGCGGGTGCACCCGTCAGCTGCCCGTGCGCACCGGTTCAGCATCGTAGGTAGCCCCCCCACCGTATGGAAAACGTCCCCCCCCGTACATCGCACATGGGCAATATAGGTTAAATCCCCACGCGCATGCCTAATGCGTCCTGCTAGACACACCCACGCATCCTATCAGGGCTTAATTATGACAACGGACGTTTTGTCATTATTAACGCCTGATCACATGTAATGCAGAAGGGGGCCTTTGCTATAGGGACATGTCTAACCGTTTTTTTCCCCAGGTAAATTCCATTTTTTTCTGTAATTTTTAAAATGGTTTTTTACTTCTCCAGTCAAATCGTAAGCGTGTACGACGCGTGGAATCGAAATTGCTGCCTTGTCTTGTCTTGTCTGAGACTGTTCTAATCATAGAAATAGATAGACAACAGTTGTCTATCTATTAATTCTATGGTACTAATCGTCTAGCTGGTGTGGCTATAAACGTACAGGTCATCATATATTGCTTTGATGACCCAATTTTTTATGCTGCTTGATAGAAGCAGAAAGCAACTGGGTTGTGCGTGATCCCGTGTGTAGCCAGAGAGCGGAGAGTAGGGCGCGTGTGAGTCGTGACAATCAGAGCCGTATATATATATAGATCTCTATATACGGCTCTGATGACAATGAGCGCGCATGTATGCATGTATGCAGTGTATTTGTGGGTAAACAGACCGCACGACGCCAGGCTGACAGCCATAGAAATAATATAGATAACCATCTATAGTCTATCTATATCATTTCTATGCTGACAGTACATGTACACGAATGGAAACCAAATTAAATAATTATATTTACAGCGTGAACTAATGATATCACATGTTATTTTACGGACGTATCGCGTTAGATTTGGCTGATAGCAATTACGAAAATCCTAGTTCCTGTTTTGTTCTAAAAAAGAGCCAGCCTAGATCTTTCCTGAGGCAGACCGGAGAGTCTCAAAACTCACAACTCATAAACAAGCATAAAACATGAAAAACTCCGAAAAGCAATTTTCCTTTCACAATTTTCACGCGACAAATACGTGTGGAAACAAAGAATACGACACAGTCACCTGCTCACACATTCACTTGANAAACAAACATACACACATCAACAGATCTAGATGCACGCATGCATACACGTATATATGTATGTACATGTACATGCACGCACGCACGCACGCACACGCACACTCACACGCACACGCACACACACACACGAACACACACATGCACACGCACACGGACACACACACACACACACATGAACAGCAGACATACTCACTCGCTCCGTCTTGAACTGGTCTGCGTCGACAGTAAAGTCAAGTTGTACGATGCCTGCCTGCAGACAGCGCTGTGCGATGATGCTGCCTATGTTAGCGGCTGCAGCCACATCACTACCGCTGTAACAAACAAAACACCGTATCATGCCTTGGCCTGCTGCCGACCTTCCTAACGAATCACGGTGTGCTTCCCTGGTCACTGGACCCGGTTCAGATTGAGTATTCGCAATATGAGGAAACCCCACTTGCTCTTCCTGAAATTAGTTGATGATAATAATAATAATAATAATAATAATAATAATAATTAATAAATAAATAATAACAATAATAAAATCATCGATCGGTTACCGACAAGAGACAATGTATCAACCTCAACCAGGTGACCGGATTCCTCCACTCTTGCCTCTTGCCCTTCGATTTGCCAGATATCACACTGAGCTAGCATCAGCATCGGGTGACTCCCTGATAACAGCCCTAGGCACGGCCGAGCGGGGCAGCACAGCCGTGAACGTCCTACCTGTGTATTACGTGTGACGCTACCTGTGTATTACTTGTCACGCTACCTGTGTATTACGTGTGACGCTACCTGTGTATTACTTGTCACGCTACCTGTGTATTACGTGTGACGCTACCTGTGTATTACTTGTGACGCTACCTGTGTATTACGTGTCACGCTACCTGTGTATTACTTGTCACGCTACCTGTGTATTACGTGTGACGCTACCTGTGTATTACTTGTCACGCTACCTGTGTATTACGTGTCACGCTACCTGTGTATTACTTGTCATGCTACCTGTGTATTACGTGTGATGCTACCTGTGTATTACGTGTCACGCTACCTATGTATTACCTGTCATGCTACCTGTGTATTACGTGTCATGCTACCTGTGTATTACTTGTCATGCTACCTGTGTATTACCTGTCACGCTACCTGTGTATTACTAGTCATGCTACCTGTGTATTACTTGTGATGCTACCTGTGTATTACGTGTGATGCTACCTGTGTATTACGTGTGATGCTACCTGTGTATTACTTGTGATGCTACCTGTGTATTACGTGTGATGCTACCTGTGTATTACGTGTGATGCTACCTGTGTATTACTTGTGATGCTACCTGTGTATTACGTGTGATGCTACCTGTGTATTACGTGTGACGTTGTTACCTGTAGAGCTGATTCATGATGGCCGGCTCGCTGGTCGACGCCGTCACGACGACCCTGCCGCCGTAATGAACGACCTCAGCCGTCGTGCGGTGACTGTTTCGCTTGAATCGCAGCCTGCGCACAAATCAGCACGTCAGCGGCAGTTAGCTCGGTGTCCAGACTCCAGANTCGGCGGTCGGAGAACAACGCATCTTTTGCGCAACGCCATCTTGTACCCGGTCTCTCTGGATACAACCTGTGCACAAGCTGTTATTGTGAGATCTACACTAATTTGTGTTGATTAGCCGGCAAGTAGTGTACATCATTACATGTGTACTCAGTACTGTAGTCTGTACTGTCACTGTGACAGTCTGTGCAGTCATGCCGCGCGTTTTTGCAAACATTGCGCTCTGCATAGTATTCATAACTGAAGGAAGAGCACCCTTAAATAATGTACCTTTGCATGAATATTGTATGTGATTTCTAAACACTGTTCTCGTCACGCTTAAAAGCATATTGAGTTGCTATTTATGATGAACTTTGTCAAAGTATAAAATGGGCATGTCGCACAGCTGCCATAACGCTTGCCTCAGCGCCCTCTCTCGTCAAAATTATCAACAACCCAAAAATTCGCCAAAAATTCTTTCATTTCGATTCATCACGCCGGATGGCGCTAGATACTCATCAACAAAACAAGATGGCGGACGATACACTTGTAATGTTGAATAAATTGGAAAATATAAAAGAAATACGGTAAGTTTCGTAACTTGCCAAGTCAAACCTTATTTATTGTTAAAATAAGTTAGATTAAGAAAATTTGTTATCATCGTGTGAACAAATCAATTAATCAATGTGAATGTAAAGTCTATTAGGCCCATATGAATATGATATATTCTATAATCCTAAAAAAAGGACGGTACCGACTAAAATACCGTACGGACTACCGCCTACCGGTATTATAAAGTAATCCTTAGGCTTAGGACCTGAGCAGTGATCAATTGTTGAACCTGAGACTAAGTCGAAGTTCTTCGTGTGGTGCACTAGAGTTTGGAGAGCAATTTTATTGCAGGGGCAAAACGCTGCAGCTGGAGAAAGTGCGCTCGCGGCTGCGTGGAGAGCTGGAGGCGATCGAGAAGGAGGAGGCATACTTGAAGGAGTACAAGAATGAGATGGAGCTCCTGCTGCAGGAGAAAATGGCTCACGTCGAGGAGCTGAGACTCATCCACGCCGACATCAACCTGGTAAGGTCACGGTGAATCTCTTCTCTTGCTGCCCTAGTACAGCTCCTCCTCCGTTACTGCCTTTCTTCTCCTCTCTTCTCTTGCTGCCCTAGTACAGCTCCTCCTCCGTTATTATAGCCCAATATTCCTCTTTATTTACTGATCGACCTCCACCTCCATCTTCATCTCTTCTCTTTCTTTCTTATTTCTCGTCCAGCTTTAACCTATTAATGCCTAAAATCATGAGTATGCGTAGCAACACAAGTTTACCTTTGTTTTAACCGGATCACGAGTTATGCGAAAAAATGTATGCCGTTTAATGTTTTGTGTTATGTACAATGTTTAGGCAACATTTTTCTCCATTAATTTTCTTGAACCGGAAATGTCGATCTGCAGTCGCGATGAATAATATTTCCCTTTAGTCGCGCTGCCCCAATTTTTGCTGTCGTTCATAGGGAGACCGAATAGGCGCGCACCGCAACTGTAAACAGATGCCAAATACGTGCACAACTAAGCAAAAAGTCTCAAGCGAAGTGGCTAACCACAGCGTTAGGCAAGACTGATGTAAAAGTTTACCTGTTACTATGGCAACACTAATGCGATGGTTGTTTAAAAAGGAAACGTTTGTTGAGAAATTCCTTCTCAACAAACGTTTCCTGTTTAAACAACCACCGCATTAGTCAAAGTCAAAGGACAAGTCAAACGTTAGAGAATGCAAGGAATGTGGATTTTGAAAGCGAATTTCAGTTGTAATAGGAATCAATTCTTGGTTTTAAATCACGTTTATAATTTGAACTGATCAATCTAACTTTGCAAAATATCACCATGTGGCCTTCAATATACGAAATTTCATATTGCAATTATGAACACATCTAAATGCAAAACGTAAATGTAAAGATAACAGATACCCCTTACAATAAATAGAAAAAGCTTTCACAGCCTAGTGTAGGTTAGCTAAATATTATTATTATGACCTTCGCCAAGGGGTTGGCAGGAGGTTATGTTTTCACCGGCGTTTGTTGGTTTGTGGGTTTGTGCGTTTCTTTCTTTGTGTACAGCCTAACTAAAAATGTTCAGGACGGATTGTCATAAAATTTTCAGGATAGGTCAGAAATGGGCTAACTTAGAATTGATAAAGTCGATACTGTGAAATTAGCTTCGTATCGCCGGCATAAAGCCTACTATCCCCCACCCCACCCCATAACATCGTGTAGTTTTGCCGGACAGAGCATGTTAACGAAACCATGGCAACAGAGTTGCGACGCCCACGTGCTGCTCCAGGAACGGTGGAGCCGAACGTGACAACGGCCTCAACGACAAACAATGTGTGTGTCCGCAGATGGAGACGACCATCAAGAACTCTGAGGACGAGCGCGTCCGCTGGCTGGACACGGCCAAACACCTGTTCGACGAGTATCGCCCCCTGAAGGAGCAGGTCGACAACTTGCGCGCGATCGTCGGACTCAATGGACTCCCGGAGCTGGAGGGCGAAAGCGAGAAGTTGACGCCTGAGTGAGTTGCGCCGCAGGGGTTGGTGGGAATCAACAGCCGCAGGGGGGTGGTGGGAAATGAGACCTGCAAGGGATGGTGGAAAGCGAGAGCTGCAGGGGGTGTGTGAAGTGAGACCTGCAGGGGATGGTGGGAAGCAAGAGCCGCAGGGGGTGGTAGGAAGTGAGACCTGCGGGGGATGGTGGGAAGCGAGAGCCGCAGGGGAGGACCAAAGGTCAGACCTATAGGGATGGTGGGAAGCAGGAGCGGCAGGGAAGAATGTGCGGATAGGCCTGAAGGGGATGGTGGGAGGCAGGAGCGGCAGGGAAGAATGTGCGGATAGGCCTGAAGGGGAAATTGCAAGAGGAAGCCTGCAGCGTGTCGCGAGGCGACAGTCTGACGCATGCGCGCGCGGGTGCACCCGTCAGCTGCACGTGCGCACTTGTTCAGCATCGTAGGTAGCCCCCCCCGTATGGATAACGTCCCCCCCCGTACATCGCTCATGGGCAATATAGGTGAAATCCCCACGCGCATACCTAATGCGTCCTGCTAGACACACTCACGCATCCTATCAGGGGTTAATTATGACAACGGACGTTTTGTCATTATTAACGCCTGATCACATGTAATGCAGAAAGGGGCCTTTGCTATAAGGGCATGTCTAACCGTTTTTTTCCCCAGTACTACAGGTAAATTCCATTTTTTTCTGTAATTTCTGAAATGGTTTTTTACTTCTCCAGTAAAATCGTAAGCGTGTACGACGGGTGGAATCGAAATTGCTGCCTTGTCTTGTCTTGTCTGAGACTGTTCTAATCATAGAAATAGATAGACAACAGTTGTCTATCTATTAATTCTATGGTACTAATCGTCTAGCTGGTGTGGCTATAAACGTACAGGTCATCATGTATTGTTTTGATGACCCAATTTTTTATGCTGATTGATAGAAGCAGAAAGCAACTGGGTTGTGTGTGATCCCGTGTGTAGCCAGAGAGCGGAGAGTAGGGCGCGTGTGACAATCAGCAGAGCCGTATATATATATAGATCTCTATATACGGCTCTGATGACAATGAGAGCGCATGTATGCATGTATGCAGTGTATTTGTGGGTAAACAGACCGCACGACGCCAGGCTGACAGTCATAGAAATAATATAGATAACCATCTATAGTCTATCTATATTATTTCTATGCTGACAGTACATGTACACGAATGGAAACCAAATTGAATAATAATGTTTACAGCGTGAACTAATAATATCACATGTTATTTCACGGACGTATCGCGTTAGATTTGGCTGATAGCTTTTACGAAAATCCGAGTTCCTATTTTGTTCTAAAAAAGAACCAGCCTAGATCTTTCCTGAGGCAGACCGGAGAGTCTCAAAACTCACAACTCTACAAGCCTCCAGGCGAAAAGGTTCAAGCATAAAACATGAAAAACTCCGAAAAAAAATTTTCCTTTCACAATTTTCACGCGACAAATACGTGTGGAAACAAAGAGTACGACACAGTCCCCTGCTCACACATTCACTTGACACCTCTATGACAGCAGTGTTGTCGTGACCATTTGCATATGGCGGCGTTGACGCGAGGGTCCATTACCAACTCGAGCTCACATCAACAAGTCGTGTGTACATGAGTCTAAACGTTGAATGGATGGATGGATATACACGTGGTGACGCGCTATAGCTTGAAACTCGCGTTTGTTGTTTTTGTGTTTGCTAACGACAAAATTGTTAGCGCGCTCGATCAGGAAAGTGTGTGTGTGTGTGTGTGTGTGTGTGTGTGTGTGTGTGTGTGTGT